TTTGAACAGAAACCTAGATGTGAAATTGCTGGTCTTCAGGAATGTGTCATTCAACTTTAGTAGGAAATTCTGAGGAGTTCTTTAAGTCCTTATATCAATCCTTTTTGGTTCTGTGGTTCACTCCACATGCTATTACAGTATTATGTGACTTGATGATTTCACACCATCTTATTAAGTGTAGAGGAATCTCATAATGACAATTTGAATTTTACTAGCTACATTTGTACCACATATCCAATGCTACTCTGTCAGTCTTTAATAGTATCTATCAATAAACAAAATTTTAATGTTGTGCTGCTTATCAAGGTTAAAATGATTTTCTACTCTCACAGACCTCAAGAGATTTTACTATAATCTTCAAAGATTACTGTTTCTTGCTCATTTATATCTGCAAACCATATGGAATTGATTTTTCTATCTACTGTGATGTAAGCATCAAAGTCCTTCCCCCACGCCATATACATATTCAGTCGATCTAATACTATTTATTGAAAAGACATTCTTTCTACATATCTCTTTGGTGTCGTGTTTGAAGGAATTCAAATGTGTAAATACTTGAAAGTTATTTTATGGACTTTCTCATCTGTTCTACTTGATGATTTGACTCTTCTTAAATGAACTATTCACTGTCTAAATCACTGTAGCTTTCTAAGTCTCGATATCCAATAATATGAATCCTTCTACTTTATAATCCCTTTCAAGAATGTGTTGGCTATGTAGGGACCTTTGAACTTGTATAAAATATTAGATTCTACTTACTAAGCTTCATTTTAAAATATTTTCTGGAGGGCTGGGGTGTATCTCAGTAGTAGAACACTTGTCTGATATGTAAAAGACCCTGGCTTCCATTCCCAACACTACCAAACAAAACAAAACAAACAAACAAACAAACAAAAACAGAAAGAAAGAAAAGAGGAAAAAAAGAGAAAAAAAAATTGGCTGATTTTAAGAACTTTTTCCTTTGATTTTCAAGAAGCTTATTATGATGTTTCTACATGTTATGCTCCATGTATTTATCTTGCTTCGTGTTTATTGTGCTTGATAAATATATTGCTATAGAGTTGTCACCAGTTTTGAGAACTTTTCATCCATCATCTCTACAAACATTGCTGCTTTTCTAATTTTCTCTCCTTTCCTTCTAGACCACAAATTCTTTATATGTTAAAACATTCTCTATGTTTTCATAAGTCTTTTCTGTGTTTTTCCATATTTTCCCCCTTGGTGTTTTAGCTGATTAATCTTCATTTGTGTTATCTTCTAAAATTTAAAAAATTATATATTTTAGCTAAATAATTTCCTGTACATTAAAATTTTAAGTTTTAATTTATTTCAAAGATAAATTGAAAGGAAAGTACAGTGATATCCTATATGTGTCTGGTTTCCACAGAGGCATAGCTATCCTCCACAGCAAGAACCCCCACCATAGTGGTAAAACTATTACAATTTATACCTACATTGAAACATCATTATCATTCAAAGTCCATAGTTTACTTTTTAGTGCTTGCTCTTGGCAATGTACATTCTATAGGTTTAGACAAATGTATAATGGACTGCATCTGTCCCTAAAGTACTATGCAGAGTATTTTCATTGCCATAAAAAAATTTTGTGTTCAGTCTAGTCATCATTCCCTCTCCACTAACCCCTGAAACTACTTATGTTTTTCAATAGCTCCATATTTTGCCTTTTCCCAAATTTCATATAGTTGGAATAAATACTTTATAACCTTTTCTGATTGGCTTCTTCCACTTAATAATATCATTTAAGTTTCTTCCAAGTTTTTTTATGACTTGATAGTTCATTTGTGTTTTGTACCATATCATATTCAATTATCTGTAGGTAACATACTTCATTCACTTACTAAAGAACTGTCTGGTTGCTTCTAAGTTGTGCGGACATAAGTTTCCAACTCCTTTGGTAAATACTCAGAAGCATGATTGCAAGATTGCATGGTAAGTACACGGTCAGCTTTGTAAAAAACTTCTAAACTAAGGGCTCAGTGGTAGTTCTCGCCTAACATGTGTAAGGCACGGTGTTTGATCCCCAACAGTGTAAAAAAAAAAAGAAACTGTTAGAATATTTTTTTCTTGATATTTCATCAATTATTTCTCAGGTAATCAATCATCATATCCAGTTAAAATATTTTTTAAAGTAGCCATGCTATTTTACATTCCCACTAGCAGTTGAATGTGAGTCCCTGCTGCTCAAAGCCTTACCTTGTCACTGTTCTGTATTTTAGCCATTCTAATAAGTACACAGTAGTATACATCGTTGTTTCAACTTAAATTTTTAATGACATCATCATCATCATCATCTTTTTTATATACTTACTTGCCATGTGTATATCTTGTTTTGTGAAATACCTGTCAAAATCTTTGACCTGTTTTAAAATAGAATTTGTTGTTGCTGATGGTTGAATTTAAGAGATTCATATATGTTGGAAAACAGTTCTTTATAAGTTTTAAAAATATTTTCTCCCAGTCTGTGTCTTGTTTTTTCATTGCCTTGACAGTGATTTTTGCAGAGCAGAAATGTTTAATTTCACTGAAATCCAGCGTATTGATTCTTGGACATGATGAATTGTACCTAAGTTCTTACATCTAAAAGATCATGACCAAATTCAAGGTGAAGGCCATCTAGATTTTCTTCTACGTTAGCTATGAGAAGTTTTATAGTTTTCCATTTAACATATAGGGCCATGAGACATTTTTGCAAGGGGTGCAAAGTCCATGTTTTTTTGTTTCATTTGAACATGTATATTCATTCTTGTTTATTTTTTATTTTTAATTTGTTCTAATTAGTATATTCATTCTTGCAGCATTATTTGTTGAAAATATTCTCTTTGGTTATTGTCTTTTCTCCTTTGTCAAAGATTCAACTGACTACATTTAAGGGGAATCTATTTTCTCACTGCTCCACTCATTGATCTTATTTACTCTTTCTCTAACCCCACATTGACTTGGTGATTCTAGCTTTATTGTAAGGGGTGTTAGTTTAGTGGTGTCAGTTACCTGACTTTATTCGTCTTTAATAGTGCGTTGACTAATCTGGGCCTTTTTCTATGCCATATATCTATAGAATCAGTTTGTCAATATCCACAATACAACTTGTATTTTCATTGAGATTTCATTGACTCAAAGATCAACTTTTTAAGAATTAGTATCTTGACATATTGACTCTTCCTATCCATGAACAAGGTATAGCTCTCAATTTATTTAGTTCTCTGAATTCTTTCATCACAGTTTTGTGGGTTTTCTCATTCAAATGTTGTATGAATTTTCTTCCATTTACACAAAAGTATTTCATTTTTGGGAGTGCTAACAAATGTGATATTGTGCTGTTGTGTGTTTGTTTTTGCAATTATATGGACTAAATCTAGGGCCTTATGCATGCTAGACAAATACTGTTCCCCTGAGCTAAATTCCTAACCCCTGGTGTTATGTTTTTAAATATCAAATTTCACTTATTCATTGCTGATGTGTAGGAAAGTGATGGACTTCTATATACTAATCTGATATCCTGAAGCCTTGCTATAATTGATTTTAATACCATGAGGGTTTTTTTTTCATTCTTTTATGTTTTCTACATAAGAAATGTTACCTATGAACAAAGATTGTTGTATTTCTCCCATTGTTGTTTGTATACCTTTATTTTCTGTTCTTATCTTAGTGTGTTGTGTAAAACTCCCAGGACAATGTTGAAAAGATGTGACAAGAGGAGATAGTCCTGCTTTATTCCTGATATTGGTGAAAAAGTCTTGAGTTCCTCACAACTAAATGATGTCAGCTGCAGGTCTTTTGTAGATATTCCTGATTAAGATGAAGAAGATTTATACTGTTCATAGTTCCCTAAGAGTTTCTAATCTCTTTTTATCATGAAGGGTATTAGAGTATGTAAATGCTTCTTCTTCATCTATTGACATGATCATATGATTGTTCCTATTTAGCCCTTTGGTGTGATAGATTACATTAAATATTTTTTGGATGTCAAAATAGTTTTGCATAAATGAGATAAATCCCACTTGGCTGTGGTATATAATTCTTTTTATACATTATCAAATTTGATTTGCAAATTACATTTTGATTTTTATATCCATATTAAAGACAGACATTGTTTTGTAGTTTTCTTATAATGTCTTTATCTGGTTTTGGCATTAGGGTCATATGGTCCTCACAGGATAAGTTAGGAAATATTCCTTCTACTTGTATCTTCTGAAAGACATTTTAGATAATTGATATAATTACTTCCTTAAATGGTTGGAACATTTCACCAGTGAACCCATCCTAGCCTTCTAGGGGTCTGTCTGGGATTTTAAACTCTCATATTCAAGATATTTGTCGATTACATTTCAGGTTTCTCTGTTCTGATGCTGCTTCCCATGGAGGCTTCAGCTTCACTATTTTGTAATTTTCTGTATTCCCGATTATCTCTCAAAATTTGGGGCACCAGTTTGTCCTGTGTTTTCATTTCTCTTATGAATCCAGAAAGATGTGTTGAATTTTCAGTTTGTTGAGCTTTTTACTTGTTAGGATAGAGTGAAGACTTTTAATCTTCTTATACATGCACAACTAAGAACTAGAAATCTATCCTTTTAAAAAAGTTATAAATAAATTGGCTTTATGCACTATGTTTGAATTTTTTGATATGTAGTTTTACAGCTAGATATGAACAGAGGATGGTGGGATGACTTTTGGCAAACAGACATATATATTTCCTTTTTCCTTTAGGAAATGTAGACATCGATACTTACATATCTCCTAATCAAGGCAACAATCTATAGATTTATCTATAATTAAAGAATGCAATACTTTTGCAGATTTTCAGATTAAATATTCTTTTTTAAAAAAAAACTAAACTTTTTTATTCTTTCTTTATTTTTTTATTTTTATGTGGTGCTGAGGCTAGAACCCTGCCTCATATGTGCTAGGCAAGTTCTCCAACTTCAGCCTCAAATTAAACATTCTTTACCCATTGCATTTATATTATTGCAACATTAAATATTTCCATTGATGATAATTTTTATTTTTATTTAAACAATACTGGGTTCCAGTTTTATAAGTTCTATTCCATTTCTGGTGAGCAATCACTCCCCCAGTGTACTCCTTTACCAGTGTACTCGTTCAATAAAAGCCAGAGATTTTACCAGGGTCTCTTCACCGTGGAGCAAGCCTTGCTTTAATGTTTCTTCCTCTTCATCCCAAGGTCCACAGACTGCCAAAAGCTTTGCTCAGTTTCATGACCTCTTAGTCATTTTCCACTTGGCTTCTCCTCCACTCTGCTTCCATTACACTCATCTTCTTAGAATATGGAGAGAGGCTTAGCATCTGGCAAATGCATGGAGACAAAAATTATATCAGATACTGGGTTTATTTCAGTTCCTGTCTTCTCTCCCAGATCTTAGCCTGTGGGGTTCCTGCTTCTGTATTTGCTGTTCACAAGTTTCTAGGTTTTCTAGTTTTGTGTTGTTTTATTTTGTTTTCTGAGGAATTTATACCGAAATAAAAACTTACATAATTGTAGGAGTAACTAGGAAACTTGAGTTCCAAAGGGGAAAATTAGATAATACAGAAAAATCACTGCCCAGTCCTCCTGGAGACAGGTTCTTCCAGCTGCTGGGACTGCAGTGCATAGGTAGATAGGCTCTGTGGAATGCTGCTGCTTCTGGATCTCATGGGGCAAGTCCTATGACCAGGAAGAAGAGCTACACATAGGAGGGTCAAGAAAGGACATGCTGGAAGCTATCAATATATCTGTGTCTGTCTCTTACCTTTTCCAGTCATGATACTCTCCAAAGAAAAATGGTGATTGCTTTACTTCTCCCTTCCAAGTCTCATATAAATATCTCTTTTGGCTGACTAACGGAAATCATGTGGGGAAGGAGATTCTGGTAAGCATGGTTCTAGCCTAGCCATGTTGAAATAGTACCAAACCACTAGAGATATAACAAGTGGTTTACTCAGAAGGAAACTAAATGGCCAGTAAACATAATAAAAGATGCCAAAGTGCACATTTACTCTGAAAAAAATGTTATTTGAAAACATAAGATATGATTTCACGTGCATCCGATTGGATAAAATAAAAACTGTTAATGAGGATCAAATATTCCTGGCAGAGTGTAAATTAGTTCAGTTGGGTTAAAAAGCAATTTGAAATATTAAATGACATTGGAAATATACACAGCGTTCAAGGCAATGATTCTTCTGTTAGATATGCTTGGTTCACACATGTACACAAAGAGAAGTTTACCAAAATATTTATAGCAGCATTGGTTTTAATAGCTAAATAAATAAATAAAGCTTCAAAAGAAAATTAAATGTCTGCTAATGGGGCTCTGGATAAACATCTACTTATTCATAAAATAAAACTTATGCAATGGTTAAAATGAAATAATAAGAGCTAAATATATAAATATGAATAAATCTTAAAGACAATGTTGAAAAAGCAAGTTGCTAAAAAATATAGAGAGCATAATAGCATTTCTATAATTTTTTAAATATGCAAAATAACACCACATATATTTATGGAATTCATACATATGTATTAGAAATATAAAACGTCCAGAAGAGTGATGCCAACTTCAGGGGAATGCAATAAGGGAGAGTTCACAAGAGGCTCTGATAGTATTTGCAATAGTTTTATTTCCTATGTTTGGTACAGATGCATGGGTGCTTGTTCTGTTATCCCAATACATTTTAGTTAGCCATCACTCCTCCAGTGTACTCCTTCAGTCATTCAATAAAAGCCAGATTTTTTACTGAGATACCTTCTATGTGGAACACTCCATGCTTTAATTTTTCTCCCTTCCTCATCCCAAGGTCCATAGACTGCCTAAAGCTTTGCTTACTTTCATGACCTCTTAGTCACTTTCCATCTCGCTTCCCTTCCACTCTGCTTCTGTTACATTCATCTTCTTGGAATATGGAGAGAGGCTTCTAACCTGGCAAATGTATGGAGGCAAAAAATATGTCAGATATTGGTATCATTTCAGTTTCTGTCTTCTCCATTGGAAACAACACCAGGATACAGAAACCTTAACTGAAACTGACAAACTCTTGAGTAGGAAAGTTTAAAGTTCCAAATTTATTTCTTAATTGCTGAAAACAGAAATCTGATCTTGCAAAGTATATTTAATTCCCCTGTCCACAAAAATAGTTCCTTATCTTCACCTATTCCACATATCAGTGCATCATCCAAACTTTAAATCTCTCCCCTCTTGATTCAAACGTTTTTTCTTTCTTTTTATGTAATATTAACTAGTTTTTGGATATTTTATGGTTAAGACTGAACTCTTGCTTAAAATTAGAAAATACTATCTCAGTAACTTTTGTATTATCACACATCTTTGAACCCATGTAATATATTTTTCTTTACTTGGGTTTTATCTTATTTTGGAATTACTTTGAGTAAAAAGTAAGGGTCATTTATTGAAAAGATAAAGGATTTATTCCTTATACAGTAGTCCCTTGGTACAGTAGAATGAACTGGACATAACTTTCCTATGTTCATATATGAATACATGACCAGTATAACTCTGCATCATGTACAACTACAAGAATGGTGGTTATATATTCTACTGTTGTGTATAACTAAAAAGAACAAATTTAAAAAATAGTCCCTTAGTATCCCTGAGGGATCAATTTGAGGGCTTCCTTCTACACAAAAATATGAGGAGGCTCAAGTCCCTTATATATAATTGTGTAGTATTTGCATATAACCCATGCGTGTCCTATTGTAATACTTTAAATCAGCTCTAGATTTCTTTTTTAATATATATTTTGTTTATTTTTGACATGTTATGATTTTTTAAAATTTGTTTTAATTAGTTACACATGACAGTACAATGATCTTCACATATCATACATTTGAATCAGATGTGGTATAATTTCTCATTTTTCTGAGTGTACAGATTGTCTAGATTTCTTATGATGGCTGATTCTATATACATACTAAGTAAGGAGTTTATACTGTCTTGTTCAGAGAATGATGATAAGAAAAAAAGCTTGTACATATTCAGTACAGTCATAATTGCTTTCTGATTATTTGTTATCTATATTAGTTGAATCCAAGGATAGGAAGGACAACTATATTTAAGAAACTGATAACATTTACTAGAAAGGTTAGAAAGGCATTTAAACTTGGCAGGGCTGGTACACTTGAGAAAGTCTGTAGGAGAAGGGGAATATAATACGGAAGGGAAGAACAAATGGAGGGAGTCCCATCTTTGGGATATACCAGAATGAAAAGGAGGAACAAAGGAGTTAACAAGAAGACATATGTTGTAGATTGTGTGAAATGGTCCTTCCTCAAAACCCTTCAAAAATTTTCAATATATTCATTAATTCATGAAATGCTGATAAAGAGTGAAATTTTAAGGAAACAGTGATGGTGGGGGATATTCACATGAGAGTATAATATGGCCAAGAACTAAAATAGCCCATGTAGATTAGGAGCTCAAAGTCACATGAGGAAACATGGTAAGGAAAGACCGATTTTACAGAGAGCTCTGCGAACAGCCACTACCCCTAGAAGTGGAAACCAGACCACATTCATTCAAATTTCCAAAGAATATGACACACCACTGTTGACAACTCTACCACATTAAAACATATTTTAAACAGGCTGACCTTTTCCCATTCCTTTCAATACAGTTTGTAAGTGAAACTGAAATGCAGTGTTTGCTGTCAGGAAAGTTGATTCAGAGCAACATAATTCAAATGACATATAAAGTATGTGTATATCCTGCTTAGGCCTTAATGGCAGAAAAATGGTAGCATTTTTTTTTTAGAAAGGTGGATTAAAGTCAAATTTACATATAAGTTTCATTTTTACAGTTAGATATGTAGAGAAAATGGATTGATAACTTTTGGGAAGTTGATGTATGTTTTTTCTCTTCCTTTTAGCAAATGTAGACATCAATATTTAAGTAACTCCTAATCAGGGCAATAATCTGTAGACAAAGTATCCGATACTTTTGCAGATTTTTAAAATTGAACATTGTTTACCCTTTGGATTTAAAATATTTCAACATTAAGCATGTATGTTGTTGGTAACTTTCATTTAAACACATTCATTGCCTTCTTATATTTTTCTGGTGAAGTGGTCATTAAAAATAATTCTTCTTTATTTAAAATTTAAAAGTTTTATTTTAGAAAAATAAATATGATAGAGTTACAGAACAACATTGCTTTGATTTAAAATAGTATGAACTGAACAATATGAAAGTATGGTTTTCTTGTTATTAATTAGCAAAATTTTAATGATTTTTGTTTTGTGCATGATATTTGTTCTTTTTAAATTCCTTGCTGGTATATACATGTCTTGAATTATATTATGCCCTTGCGATGGAAAAAGAAAGTTGGACCCAAAACTTCTTGTTTGTAATGAGTTATTTGCTAAGCAACAGAAATTTTAAACTTCTCTCAGAAGTTTCATTGATGGTAACAGTTGGAACAAGCCACCTCAGTATTAGTGTTAGGGTGGAAGGGTCTAGAGTCAAGGTTTTATGATTTCAAACCATTGTTGGTCTTTGTAAACCTGGGTCACTTCTTTAATCTCTGTGAGAACATTACAAAGCTCTCTTCTTGGGAGAATTTGAATGAATGAATGGGATCGTAAGTGCAGAACTTCCCGTGTAATGCCTAACATAGTAATAATCAACACTTGTGAGGTATAATTATTTTTCTTAAATTATGTAGGCTAAAAATGGCTATTTTGGGGCTGGGGTTGTAGCTCAGTGGTAGAGAGCTTGCCTAGCATGTGTGAGGCACTAGGTTTGATCCTCAGCACCACATAAACAAATAAATAGATAAACAAACAAATAAATATATAAATTTATTTATGTCCATCTACAACTAAAAAAATAATTAAATTTAAAAAATGGGGGCTGGGGTTGTGGCTCAGCAGTAGAGCCCTTGCCCCGCATGTGCAAGGACCTGGGTTCGATCCTCAGCACCACATACAAATCATAGATGCAATTGCTGCTTAAGCTCAGGCCATTGCTGCCTGTCTTCAGTAGGCAACATAGTCAATAGAAGCACCTTAGGGGCCAGAGTGTCTTAGACACTGCCTCCTTTGTGACTTGAATTTAGGTCTCTACACCTTACTTTGCTCATTTGCGAGTTGAGAATTTAGAGGAGAGGATTTCTATAGGTCTAATCTAGTTAGTCCCAATAATCAATGAGTTAGTATTCTTTCTTGAATACACCTGTATTATCCACTAGAAATACATGGACCCCACATTAAAGTGAGGCTCAAGAGAGAAACACAGGTAGCTGAAGAAGAAAGAATGTCTCTCCTGACAGATTCACTCAGCAACAAAACTCATCATACATTTTAATATCACTAAAAAAGGTGAATTCACATAGTCTACTTATTCTCTAATTTCTTCATTCATGTGAAAGCAGTGCATACCTACTTTATAGGCGGTACTAGGAATACAGAAATAAATATTTCCCCTCCACAAAGTTAGTGGGACAAGCACACAATCACACCATTGTGAAAAGGACCTGAGTGTTCATGAATATATGGTTAATTTCCCATGTGGCACTGCAGAACAGTGGCAAAAGGACAGTCTCTGCAGTCAGTTAAGTGTTAGATTAATTGAATAGCCATATGGAAAAACCAACCTTAACAATTAATAACCTTAATAATAAACAAAGATAAAGCCAGGTAGATTGCAGAATCAAATATGAAAAATAAAATAATAAAGCCTTAAAAAGATAACAGAATGTCTTTATAAATGTGGAGTATACAAATATATCTTAACATATAAAAAGTTCTGACTATGAGAGAAAAGACTGACAAACTGGATCACATTAAAATTCTCAAAATATTTCCTTATCAAAAGATAACACTAGGCGCTGGGGCTGTGGCTCAGCGGTAGAGTGCTTGCCTGGCACTGTGAGGTACTGGGTTTGATCCTCAGCACCATATAAAAATAAAATAAATAAATAAAATAAAGATATTGTGTCCAACTACAATATATGTGTGTGTATATATAAAGATATATCTATCTATCTATCTATCTATCTATCTATCTATCTATATATATGATAACATTATTAGAATAAAATGGTAAATTCCAGAAGAGAATTCATAAAGAAGTGCTAAAAATCAGTTAGAAAAAGACAATCCAATAGAAATATGGAAATGGACTTAAAATAATCTTTCACAAAAAACCAGATATCAAAATGGTCATTAAACATATAAAAAGTTCTATAATATCATTGCAAATCAAGGAAATATTAGGTGAAAACATAATTTTGGCATATGTACAATGATATGCCACCATATAATGGCAAAAATAAAACAATGAGAACCAACCTATAGTGTTGAGATGCTGTCATGAAGAATCATGTGATGAGTCATGTTTGAAATGAGGCTTCTGAACAGATAAAACACTCAGCACGCACCCAAGGCCCTCCCAGGCTGGGAAGGGGCCCTGGCCACAAACACCTGGGAGAGGCCTAGGCTCTGAGTTGACTCAATGCATTTCCTGTCTTAAGAATATTTTCGTTTTAACCATAAATGGGTTAAATGCTATATTCTGTGACTTGAGAATTTCAGGCATCGAAAAAAGGGACATTAGTTGAGGATTGGAAATGGGGAAGGAGTAAAGCCATCTGCAAGTGAAACTGCAAAGGAGGAAAATTTGATATTGTATGAGAAGAGATATGATTTTTTTTAACTCCCTTTCTTAAATGAAGTGGTGTGGTTACTTTCCTTCATCCTCCCTCTCTCCAAATGTTTTTCAATCCTGGCTAGTTAATGGTTTCAGTGTCCTGTCTGTAACCCTCTAAGTTTCCCGTCTCCATGCAAACAGCTCCCTATGTGCTTCTACCTATGTCTTTGTTGGGGGCATTGTGCTTAGACTTGCCTGGCATTAGCCCCAGGCAGTTTTCTGCATTGACTGTTGGGTATATTTACTTAGCTCTTTGG